TTTTTTTTTTCTGTCCCACTCTCTGACACCAATTTGTTACATCTCCGTTTGTTAATTAACTTTCCGTAACTTCGTTCCGACGAAACTTTAGTGACACAAGTCCTTACTTAATAAAACTGGTTTATTCTTTCTGAATATAACTTCACGATACACTTATTTTCAACAGTTGCTCTTTCACAAACGTTTTAACAACGAATGTTAACTTCAACAATACGTCTCTCTCTGACTGCAGTTCAATTACTCATTACCTACACACACATTATCACGTCACGTTGTCCCCTCTTATATATACCAGACTACCCTATATCTAGTAAATGCTAGAGCAGTCGCCAAGGTACAGGATAGTTCTAGAAACGTGGCGTGACACTAGTCATGTGACCTCGCTGACGCAACTGTACATTTGATGCCCTTCAGGATATGTTCTTTTGAAATCGTAATCATTTTGGGGGTTACTGTTTGTTACATACGTAGTTGTTAAGCAAAAGTTGGAGAATAAGGAATGCTAAATGAGGTTAATTGTTTAATCACTTTCAAAGGCTCACACCAGAGGCTTTAATACCCATGAAGGATGTATACGTGGAGCTGCTTAGTGGAACAATAATTTTAAAACATTATATTTAAACTTATTTTAAATCCACATAATAAAATTGTTACACTTCAATTTTTATTTTCCTACACACCTTGTTCTTTAGAGAGCCGATGATGGATTAGAGGCAAGGAATTTTCCTGCTGCACGTTTTCTAAACACTCAGAGTTTTGTTTTTGTACATTAGATAAAAGATAAAATGGATTACTATGACAATTTGTTTCTTCCTTTCCCTCATCCATCCAAAAGTTCTCTTTTTTTGTTCTTTCATCTATTAAACAGCATCCTCGTTTTATATTCTGAGTTTGGGTTTCTCCTTGGCCATTTTGTATAGGAGACCACTGTCCAGTGTTGTTTTCAATTCTGCACAAGTTTTAGAGCAAAAAAAGAAATGAAAGATGAATTTCGTAAAAATTAATTAAATAATAAAATTCAAAGTTATTTACAAGTGGGTGGGGATGGGTGTTCAAAATTATGATAACAAAACTGTTTACACGTGTTTCAGAAAGACTCTGCTACAATGACCAGCAAAATTCTATTTGATACCAGACAGAAAAAAGTTAACAGGTTTCAAACTAAATGTTAATAAATCTTTTATCACACTTTTTCAGATGCTCATGGGCTAGTTTCCAATAATGACTTATTTATTTTTCATATGCTGAAAAATAAAATGTTGAGTGTACTGGAAAATAAAATGATTTTTTATGATATTGTTTATTCAAATCATGACACGTAATAACTCAAAAACACAGTAAATGACAATGCACACAAAATGTGCAATTCAACCTGACGCTGTGCACCACACTTGACCTCATGTTATTATAGTACTGTTGTAACACTGTTGATATATCTTATAAACAAAATCTAACTGAACAGAAAACTGGGAGAATGTGGTATATGTAATATATAGAATATTATTCTAAAAGTATTTTACTAAAAGCACATTGAACAATATTTTTCCCTTGTGGATGACACTTTGCAACAAAAGAATTATAATTACATCGAGATAAACTGTATTTGTACTCAACTAATAAATGTATTAGCAAGCTTAAATTTTATTAGTTTAAAGTTGGCAGCACAAACTAGAAAGTTGTATTCATTGTTAAAATGATAAATGAAACAACCTATTATTCCAGAAAACATAATTGGTTATATTTAACCCTTTCACTGCTGGAAGCGACTATAGGCGATGGAAGATTAACTGTTTTTGACAGCGAAGATCGAATTTTCTCTAAAGCCATCACCCCCCCCCCACAAGCTTGAATCAATCCCCAGACACCAGGTATGTTGATATTTGGGAGTGTGAGCGGGAAACACAAGTATAAACAATCCCTCAGCTGATGCCCCAGCCAGCAGATGACATGAAGCACCCGCGCCACCCATGCACAAAGATGTCACATTTTCTCCATGTTTTTATCATAATTTCTGTTATTTATTGACACCTTAAATCAAGACATATAATATAAGCATGTCTTATATATCATAATGCATAACACAGCAAAATATGCTGCTAATTTATGATGTTTTTTGATGGAGAAATGACATTGGTTGGGGATTAACCATGAAGTCTAATTATGTGGTGAAAGGGTTAAGCCAACATTTCATCATTACGGCTTCGTTGAAACAAACAAGACACTTGCTAACTGATTTAGGCTTATATAAATGATTTTTTGCAACAATCTTTTGTATAAGCCTAAATCAGTTGGTAAGTGTCTTGTTTACCTTGATGAAGCTATAACGGCAAAATGTTGGCTTAAATAAAGCTAACTGTTTTCTGGAGTAACAGGTCATGTTTTATTTATCTCTAACAAACTTAAAATTTGAAGAAAAATCCATATTAATTTCTACTTCAATTTTGAGTGTATAAATTGTTTTCCAAAATGTAACCAGTTAAGTAAAATTTGTTATGGCCTCACAGCTCACAAAGAAACAAGCTGTATTACTACAAAAGTCGTTGATTTGAAATTTTTGAAGGGACATTTTCTTATGTTGTAAGCTATATTTTTCAATCTTAAATGTTTGCTAGAGAGTGCATGAAGTTAAGATTAAGTAAGTTTATAAAACTAGTCCTAGAATACATTGAACATTTGTGAATACTAGTGATTGCAAAACTTTTAGAAAAGTGTCTAAAAACAAGGCTACATTATAAATTTGAGAATCAGTGAAGCATTGAGTCAGTTTTCAGTTAGAAGAGTGCCAGTCATCCAGTAAAGTATTTAGTTGTCAGTTAGCTTAGTGGTTGAAAAGCTAGTGAAGTATTCAGGTTAGTGTTAGTTACTTGATTGATAAATTGTGAAATTAGACTAGCTAAGTTAATTTGTACATACATTGTAGTACAATTAGCAAGTAAATTTCTTTTGTAAGTGACAATGTTATTTGTGATTTAGGGCCTACAACTGTGCACAAGGGATAGTATACTGTTTCAAATTAAATAAACTAATTTATTATCATTAACTGGACTGCAGGTGGCCTTATTTTTACCAAATCCTTTAGAACCAACCCCCCCCAAATTAAAAAAACAATTACATTTGAAATATTTAGAATTATTTAAAAACTAACTTAGCAATAAAAATGTGAATAAGGAACCTCATAATATTTATCAGCATAACTAATTAGTTTTGTTTTTTACAATTTTCATTTAATAATTGTTATGTGCTCAGAACTTTAAATTATGCTTTTTGATGGAGAATATATGAACAAAACTTTGTTGTTTGTTAATCCCAACTTTGATCATAATTTAGAAAATTCTTACATTTAGTTTAAATGACTGTTAAAAAGGATTTATATATAAAAAAAATCATATACAATGGATACAGTTGAAGTTATTTTGCACGTAAAAGGAAAGACATAGCAATATATAATGACCACAAACTCTGCAAATATGAATATTTCTAAACAATGACAGTTTGTCATTCTTAATTTGCAATTGTTTTTTAAAACAATCACTTAGTTCAATTAATTAAAGAATAATTTTTAATGCTCTCTGTAGTTTGATTCATTATCTCAGAATGTTCAAAAAATTAAATTATTATGATTCTTCAGACATCAATTCTGAAAGGTCAGATTTCTTCTTGTGAAATCTGACAGAATAATTGCTGTAAAGGGGTTCCTACTCACTTGTTATCTATTTCAACTTTTCTTTCATCACCCTCCGTGGAATTCAGATCTTGAAAGACACAAATAATACTTTATAATTATATATATGAAATACACACAAAACTATAACTACTAATCAAATCAATCCAAAAGCAACTGCTTCTTTCATTCACTCAGTAGAATGCAAGTTTCCTGAGATTATCACTTTTGTGTAACTGGTTAGATTATATTCTACTCAGGTCAATGCAAGACTTTACACGTACATTCTTGTTCACAATTTAAATCCTTGAGTCTTAACACATACATTCTTGTTCACAATTAAAATCCTTGAGTCTTAACACATACATTCTTGTTAAGAATTATATTCCCATTAAGTGTTTTTTGATTCTCTTATATCTTGAAATAAAATCAATGATGGATATCAGACAATACTTTCATTATTGCTGCTGAAAAGTTGCAACTGATATTGGCTTTAAAAGAAAATAGTAACTGTATACAAATGAATAAAAAACTTTTAAATTAGTATATTCATCCCATGTATTAATCTTTGATTCTTCGACGATACTTTGTTGTGTGGTACGTAGGGTAATATATTCTAATGTTACATTTAATGTATTCCTTTCAAGAATCAATTTTTGATGATACTTTGTTGTGTGGTATGTAGGGTAATATATTTCTTCCAAGAATCAATCTTTGATGATACTTTGTTGTGTGGTATGTAGGGTAATAAAAGTTCAAAAAGATTTGAAAATAGAAAAATTTAACCTTAAAATTAAAATTTTTCACCTAGTTATTGGATATGTTTCATTTTCAATCTGGAATTATGTGTGTTTACTTA